TTGACGGATGTGGAGACGTCAGTCCAGAGAACGGACGCGGGTTTTGTTGCATAGCTCTCGGTGAGTAATGGCTTGGGTCGATCCGACGCGATGTACATTGTTTACCGGGGAGGATGAAAGCGGTGGCCTTGACTCTCGTATGCGTGTTTGGGTTTCGGTGCGATTATGTTGGATGTGCTTGTTTTTGCACGAGCTTTTCCGGGTGATTCGTGACGGAAGTGCGCGCTCGTAGGCTGGGATAGGAGTTGCAATTTCGTTGAGGGAAAATTTCAAGAGCAAACGCGTTTGAAACGGATATACAACAGATGGACCATACTAAAATATACATGAGATTTTTTACACGTGTTTGTTGAAACGGGAAGAAAAATTCAAGGCGTTTGTACTCGCAAGTTCCTACAGGAAAAAGCAATAGTAGTTCTTGATTTAATACTTATGTTAATAACAGTTTCAATCGAATTGTTAAATGAGAATAAATCACACATTTCCATGAGGGATGGAGGTTTTGAAAAATCAAACATAACATTCCTTACGTAATTTCATGGGATTTTGTGGTATGTTCCATATAATAACGATACGAAAAGGCTTTTCTCGTACTACTAAGGTACACCTACTTAGTACATCATGAAAAAATATGACACAACCATCATTGAACTCCATAAAAGATTTCCTTTTAGCTTTTTTTTGCGTATGATAAAAACGCTCGCTAAATAAAAAGTAAAGTATTTCTTTGGAAAACCGAGTTAAAATGCGGTTGAACAAAAAGTGTAAGAAAAGAATCTTAGCAAAGTACAATGAGCTTATACACGGCGAAAAAACCGAACGCTTCGCCTCCGTCGTAGTATTGCTTTTCCCCAGTAAACACGAATTAGCAACTACAGAAGAAGAAAAAGGGGGTCACCTTACAATCTTTTTATCCGCCTGCTCCTTTGTCTCTTTTCCATTCATCGCTGCCGCCTGGCACTTAAGACTATTGATAAGAGCATTATTTATAAGGACAAAGCCAAGGGGTTGGGAGGTGGGGGGTGGCAAGAAAGAAGCCCAGCTTGTCCCTCGAAGCGCAGCGGGAGCGCAGAGTCGGAAGTAATCGAAGTTAATGAGTTTCGAGTGAGGACGCGCAAGGCGAATTGTTTGTTTACGTAGCGTGTCTTCCGTCCTCCCTTTACCACCCCCCTTCGTTTCGACGACTCGGGGAAAATCCTTCGTGCCGCAACTCGTGCCCGAGTTATATACTCCGTCCTGATACCGCCATCCCTCGATAAGAGCGGCTTCATAAATTTATTCGCGTATTTAGAGCGTAAGCAATTCGAACTTTGTCGAGCGGACGCTAAGTCTTTATTAAGCGCGTATTATACACCCCCCCCCCCCGTGCACGTGTACGTGTGTAAGTTTGAAAATTATGCCGCGATCTTGGAATTACATACTCTCGAAATCTGAATTTTAATAGGGGACTGGTCCCAGCCCCCGAGTCCCTGGTGTCGAAGAAATTTAATTTAAAATCCATTATAACTTTGCGCACCAATGCCAAGATCGAGCCATAACCACCACACGAGCGCACGGATAACTCTTGGGTCTAAATCGTACCATCGACGTTTTTACGGCGTCTTTGGTATTAAATCGTCGTTTCGATAGTTTACGGCTTTTTTTCGGCAACGAGAATCCCAGAGGGATGCTACACGCGGAAGAGCCGATTGCTACGTGTTTCGATTACCCGATGTACGGGGGAAAACAAAGGGGGGAAAAAAAAAAAAAAAATTAAAAGGCATCAGAAGGACAATCCAGGGATTAACTTGGTAATGCGAGTATTATGCAAATCGCACAGGGGAGGGAGGCGATAAGCGAGGGAATTGAATGGTCCCCACGTCTGGATGTACATATCTGCATTTTCTGCAAATAAGTATTATTATTTTCGGTATACACGCGGGATAAACGAAACGACAATACCTGCAGCCTTTGATCGGTGAGCGCAGCCTCGCTTAAACCCTCGGGTTCTTAATACTACGGATCAGAACGAGAAAAAAAAATGCACCCTCCCAACGCCACGTAATCCGGAGTAATGTGCAGGGGCCCCGGTGTTTTTTGTGCAAATTTACGCCAATGCGTGTTTTTTGATGCACGAGCGTTATTTCGCAATTTCGCGCGACACCAGTCGCCGTGGGGAGAAAAGCACAGCCGGGTTAGCGTGAATTACATCCCACGTGCCCAGCGCACGTAAATAAGTTTACCTTTTTCTTTTCTTGTGCTTCGTGAATAACTTCTCGAAGATGCCCAGCTCCTCTTGTTGTCCCTCTTTCCCAAAACAATAGGTCCTCGAAACACAAACACCCACATTTTACAAAAGTGCGGGGTTTTAGGGCTAAAATCATTAAAATCTCCAAAGGGAGTGGAAAAAGCCACCCCTTCCTTATCTCGAGAGCCGTGAGCGAGATCCTCCGAAAAATAAGTTTGAAAAATAAGATTGCAATCTCCACGGCAAAAATAGGACCACCAAAGGTTTGGCAAGACGTGTGTACAAAGGAGGAGAGCAGAAAAGTTCCCTCCAAGTGGGAGAGTTTTCGAGACTAGCTAATTTCCTTTATTGCGCGCTAGCGGTGAGCAAAAGTTTTTGCCCCCGTGTAACGTATACACATACAACAGGTCGCAGGAGATGCGGCGAGAATCGTCCATGCGCATCGCGTACAATGCGCCCTTCCTCTCGTCCTCTGTGTACTGCTGTTACACACCGGCGAACACGAAGAGCTGGGAAGCTGCGGTTGGACCTCCCGTCTCCTTCCCTTCTCTGTTGGCGACTGTTTATCGTCGAAGCCGATGGTACACGAGTACCCTTCTCGGGGAGAAAAATCATTACTGGTATCGGAGCTGAGGCAATTGATGGAAGGGGATGCAGGACTCTTGCGCTCTTTTGTTCGTTTTGACTTTGATGATTAAGAAGAAAAAAAAACAACTTTCTCATCTCGTGTTGCTTGGATCTCGATTTTTGCAGGAAAGTGGTCGGCGTTCAAAATAAGAAGGTGAAATGCAAATGTGCAAGCCGATGGCAAAACCCATCAACGCGTTGGAGGCAAACAAGCTTGTTAGCTTAGCCTGGGAAACGAGAGCATTACAGTCCAAGGTATGCCGATCAGGTTCTTGCGTAAGATGGTACATGATGCTCGGTTCATTTTGGACACGTCCCACGTTGGAGGAGCCATGGATGTGCTTCGCTGTTGGCCTCTTATCTTTTCAACGAGGCGGAGAGCAAATTTTGCCAAGTTTCCCTCTCTTGTACCCCGTCCGCGTACAGTTTCGCCTCTAAAATCACGAGTAGGAAACAAGAAGTCGGAATGTGTGCACGCGAGTCTTCCACGAGGATGATTTTTCTGAAAAAGCACAAGACACGCCGTAGTTTCGAAAATGCAAATTTCGCTCTTTTGACGTTGAAGGGGGGGATGCGGCTTTGCTCCGGACCACTTTTGCATCCCCAAATTGGAAGTTGCTCGACGAAAACAAGGTAACCCGGAATCTTGGGAGGAAAAAAAAAAGGAGCTTCCATACCAGGAATCCACGTAAAAGCACTTTAACCGACGGGGCGTTTCTGAGAAATCAGTGGAAAAGTCAGTGACAACGGCCGATGACGAACCAACACGCCAAAGCGAGCGTGAGCAAACGTCGCCTCGCATCCCGTAAAAATCAAAAGTCGCTCGGCACCCAAGACACACACGGGTAGGAAAAAACATACGTCATAGTCAAAGGGAAGAGAAATAGGGACAGTACACCCACCCTCACGTACTCGTATACCCTACCATTTTATTTACTCCCGCAAAAATATATACAAGTAGGTGCACCAGTCTGTCCTTCTCTTGGTCGCTGTATACAGGAAAATACGTTGGAGCTTGAATTTGGGTCAAACGGCGCGACTCCCACCCTCTCCTGAATGCATGGAAAAACGAGGGTGCACACGTATGCGCGGGCGTTCCGGCTGGCTTTGTACAACCGCAATATCAAAGCTCGGGCAGCGGTGAGGAGGACAAGGGGACTCCGCTTGAACGCAGATTTCACGTACGGAAACTGAAAAACGCAATGTCTTTCGACTTGGGTGGAATTCAGCTGGAATACTTGAGGTTTGCTTGTGAATTTTTGAAATTCGTGAGCAAAATGATGTCCCGCATATCCACGTAGAATTCGAATACACTCGAGTTGCATAAGTGCGGTTACACTGGCTCTCTCGTGCGGATCTACCTGATTGGTGTAGCTACTAATATTGTAAAAGCAACATAGTTTAAAGTTCGAAAGATGTACAGTTGATTCACATTGTATGTTCAATCGCTTGATCGGATTTCGGAAACGTCAAAGCTGCTCATCCCATTAGTTATACGGGCAACATTACTTTACGCTCTCGAATCGGCACACTTTACCCCTCCATTGATTTACCATTCGTATGCAAGTCGGATACGTAAAAGTAGCTCCCCCAACGACAATGACTTGGACTTGTGTACGTGTATACTCATCAGCACTCGGAGCTATCAAGATTCTTGGATGAGGTCGATGCTCGCGAAGCTGGTGGACAGTCAAGTTTTAGTCAAGTACCACCTCGGATGGTACGACACTTCCCCTTGCCCATCCGATACACAGATGCCTATGCGATGATCGAAAACTCGCTCGTTAATTGATACCTAGAAAGTCGGAAACTCGCCCTCTCGACCCAATCAACGTTTCTTACTTTATCATTCATCTTCCCGAGCGAGTTAGATTACCCCTTAACACTCGGGGAGAGTTTCTCGTGCAAGTTGAATCGTTAGCTGTTGTTCTCTCGCTCGGGTCATAATTCTCCTCTCTACGGGTTATTCATAAAAATACTATACTTTGTGATGATTTACTTGTTTTATGCTTTCAAGACACATAAGGCCGGAAGAGCTCGATTTTCACGCTTGGTTTTTCCACACGTGTTTCAAACGCAAAGCCTTTTCCATCCCGTCAAATCTACGAGGTGAGTAATATTTTACAAGTGCGTTAAGTCAGCGTACCTCGATGTTTTTCCCTTTTGCTTCCTGGACAGGTCACGTCACTCCCGGTGGTAAGTATCGTCTCTCGGCCCACGCGATGCCGATCCTCCGGCTGATGCTCGGAAACTCATCTGCAACACGAAAAACAAAACCGACACGTTGATCATAATGGTGTAAAATCCCACAGCTGGAGCCTCGCTCGGGTACAAGTTTGCGGGCTTCGGTGGTTAAACTATACAGCCATCGCGTCACACCGGTGCCGGTATATTGCGAAACTTTAGGCATCAAAACTCGCTCGGGGTGCAACGGGCGCATAAACGCTCAGTTTTTCCGATACTCAGGGAATTATCAGTCACGTGTCGTGTACCCAAGATGCTTTTGCGCTTCACGAAAATGGCATTTTTTTCAAATAGATGATGCACTGGGGGAAAAAAAAAAAAAGAAAAAAATCCCGTCACAGCAGCTAGAGATCGAAGAGCCACCGGAGCGGAGCGCAAAGCCGCGCGGATTCGACGGGGCGCAGCTATTACCATATCGGCCGAGAGGACTCGGAATGAAAAATAAAGAAAACACGCGCGCCTGGGCGGACTTTTATAAAAAGCAGCCGAGCTCACTTTGTACACTCTGTTAGCCGCGTTGAACGTGGGAGGAGTGCCCACACGGAGAGCGAGCCGAAGGAGGGAGGAAGAAAAAAAAACAAACAAAGGAGCCAGAGATTCTGATTACTCTCCGAACGCTTCCACACACAACTCCCGAGCCCGTCGTCAAAGCTCTTCTTCTTCTTCTTCTTCAAACCCCAGCGAGAAAGCTAACTTTTTTTTCTTTCGCTCAGTGATTCCCGGAATCACAAACGGAATCGATGAACGGGGGAGAGGAAACGGCCCGATCGAGGGATCGTTTAGGGGAGGCTAGAGGTGGCAAACAGATTCGGGAGAACTCGTGTCTCTGCGTAGTCAAAGGGACCGAAGGCTCCGGGGGGAAAAAAGTGTACCAGTGCTCGCGTATACTCCAATAGCACACGAGGCTCGATAAGTACTTATTTGCCGAGGACTCGTTTTCGCTTGTTTGCCATTAAAACGAGCAAACAAGGCGAACCTGCTTCGAGACGTTTGCTCGGGTAATTTGTTAATCTTTTCAAAAATTCGTTTTACCGTTATACGTAAGCGCGCCCAGTGAGCTTTCACTCATCGGCGTATAAACAAACGAGAAGGAGAAGCGAGGAAAACAGAGCCAGAGCACTTTGGAAGTAAAAATAAAAAAAAAAAAAAAATCCAGCTACTGGCGGCACGCGGCTAGCAAACGATCCGTCGTTAGTGGTAACTTTGGGGGGACGAGTGCCCTAGAAATCCAAGAGACGAGAGCCAGGAACAATTAACAGTGGCGGTATTGAGCTCGTCCGTCAGTGCCGCGAATAGTACGCGAATGAGCCGAAAATCTCGGCCGCCGTGTATACACTATAAGTACTGTATAAAAGTAAGCGTTGCGGAAAGTCTCTCGAGCCACGAAAGCTCAGAGAGCCGTTGCCGGTCTGTAATTAAGACGACGAGAAAGAAACGGGTATGGAGAAGGGAGTTGGATGGAAAGGGGGGGAGGGAGAGAAAGCTATGCCGAGGTCAGCGCGAGCTTGCCAAAACACACCACCCACGCTCTCCTGCACACACGCGAGCGCACATCTGCATAGTTTGGATTCGCGAGTACATCCATACCCACACACACACACCCGGGCGCGCGTATATATACTCTTTGCACTGTAATGTCTTCTCGGGGAGGCTTTAAAGAATGGGGAGGGGGGAAGAGGAGCAGCTGCTAATGAATGGCTCTGGATAGGTACTCTACATGTGTTTTTTTTTTTTTTTTTTTTTTTTTTGACCAAGTCGTGTGTGTGAGTGCGCGGAGTTGTGTATAGTTACAAGTGTGGCAATTAGAGAATGGCTAGTAAGTAGGTACGAAGGGCTCGTAAAGTTGTCGGGGGGATAATGAAGAAAGTGGAAGGCATGTATTTCACGCGCTGACGGCTATGACCGTTGAAATTAGCGCAAGTCATTGGGAAAAAAGGGGGACAAAACACGCGAAGGGGGAGCTATAATTATTGAAGAAAAAAATATACTTTTGATTGCTCGAGCTTGCAAGTGGTATACCCTTAGATATTTTGCTCTGGATGGGGGAGCGTGACGTGCACAATGGGCTAGAATCGAAAGAATCACGATACCCAAGTAACGTATCGCAACTTCAAGGGGCTCCCAAACTTTACGGCGCAAGCTCTGCTCTCGATTGGAAAACCTCCTGCCAGCATTCAACGGATTTATAGTATTGGAGCTTGATTTTTGTCGATACTTTAAGAAGACCACTATTTTACGGTATACACACGTGAGCACGCGTGTGACCGAAAATCATCTGCTCGTTGCATGTAGATGCGATACAGCCGAGCTTGCAAGCACACGAGCTTGTACATACGTCGAGGGCCAGCGTGCGAGTGCCGTAGCAGCGGTAGATGAGCTTGCCTACTTCATGAGGCTCTGGGTGAGCTTGCATCGTTCGCGGAGTCGAGATTGCTTTCGTGGTTGGCTGAGGACGGGGGAGAGAAGGGATTCTTAGTGTGTTTGTGGAGCAGGTCGAGCGTGAAAACGTGGCCGTTAGCTGGAGAACTTGTGCTTGCGTTGTTTTATATTTGCGTGATAACGCGGAGAATGTCACGTGAAAAGCTTCAAGGGTTTGTGGAGTGTAATTTTTATTTGAATACTTTTATGGTGTTTTATTTGTCGCAGACTGTAAACTACTTTACGGTAAATTTTCCTAATTTCAAGGAAATTACTGTAAACGCTGAAAAAGGTGGACAGCACTTATTTGAGACAATAGACAGTAATAGGTTTTAATTTCAAATTTATTAAGTATCGTATTTAATTTCTCTAATTTGATTAAAATTAATCAAGTAGTATTAGTATTCATCAGGCAGCAAAGAGTTAAGCATCAAGGCAACAAGTGAATTGGGGTTTCATTGAAAACTCCAAGTTTCTTTTCTCTCCAACTTTTAACGAACATAAGAACAAAGTACATGCAAAACTTGAACAATCGTGTGCACAAAAGTATACTCGTCAAAGTTGACATGCACGCCAAAGAGTTTTTTTCCAAGAAACAGTACGCGATCCACGAGATACCGGGTTGGGGGGGGTGGGGGTACGAAATTAGAAACCCGATTATGTTTACCAAACACACGCTCGTGCACTCGCAACGGACTCACACGCACACCAGTGATTTAATCAATCGAAACGAGGAGTACGAAAATCGGGCGATTGAAAAATTGCGAGGAAAAAAGGGAAAAAAAGGCTCATGGTTTAATACACTCGAAAAAATCAGAAAGCGAAAACGATTCCAGGGCTATATATACGTACCACTGTACCACACACACACACACTACCGCTAGTGCAAACACATACTCTTTACGCGTTTTCCCCGTTTCCTCCTCCCTCGCTTTGGGCTGCAATAAAATTGTTATAGACTTGTACAACTAAACAGAGAGAAAGAGAGAGAGAAAAAAAAAGAGTAGAGCATACGCTGGGCAGACATAAACACGTTCATTTACGTACGTACGCGCGATGTATATACATATACGTTACCTATGCTACCCCGATTTACGAGCTTACTCTCTCGTATACGTATGGACTATTTGTAAAAGCCGACGCTGCAGCTATTACGCCCGCCCGAGCAGAGCCGATGCGTACGTTTGGTGCGTGTACTATGTGCACCGATGTTTGTACACGGAAAGTTGATTGATAAACAAGTCCTGCACCGCAGTGTTTCAAGTTAGTTTTTCTCTTTTTTTTTTTTTTTTTTTTTTTTTTTTTTTTTTCCAAAACGCGGACCTTTTGATTTTCCTAAAATAAAATCTAGTCGCAGAGTACGACACGAAAGTTGGCCTTGGTGCAGAGAAAACATCATCAGGTCTGTGTCAAGGTTGTCGCTACTGTATACGAGGATACGGTGTAAGACTTTTTTCCCAAATTTTACGTAGTTGCAATTAAAGTAAATCTTTAGCAAGACACACTCAAGCGACAATGCAAATATTTTAGGAAGCTGAGTGATGCCAATCATCCAATTGTCGGACGATCGGTATTGCAATTGATAAGACACGCGAGTGTGAATATCGTTGGACGGAAGCAGCCGTTGAGCGCAGAGTATATTATGTAGTCGGACGCGCTCTCTCGTCACCATTTACAGGCTCCCTAATGGCACCCCAAAAGCTAAACTTGAGCGTGACGTCCCTGGATTGATTTTACGTTTCCATCGGCATAGGCAGGCCAAATTTAATTAGTTCGCGCGATCGGGCATTTGTAAGCGTACACACACAGTATCCAAGTAGACCCGCGCAGAGTCAAAGTTCGCGAGACTGATGGTACCCTCCGTGGGTGCGGGAATTAATTTCATGCCCCTCTCGGCTGTCGGTGGGGAAAGAAAAAAAAAGTGTATACCTTTGTTATTTCGACAATAGCCTGGGATAACTTTTATTTATTTCTTTTTTTGCATTGCTTGTTTTTTTTTGGCAACAACTACTTCATCGTTTGGCGTTTTCTTTTTGTCAGGCGATCGTTCTTGGAAAAAACACAATGGCTCTTTTAGATTATCACTGTACGCAAGGGCAGTTACTTTGGCTCGTTTCCATCTCTCTTACGTGTACAATGGGTATACAGAAGTTACCCACATGTGCGTACATGGGCAGATAATACAATGTGTTGAAGCCGTGAGAAAGGAAATGTGGGCTCCGGCGTTGGACAGCTGTACGTTGGTGCAGGAGAGTACAAAACTATACTAATTGGAGAGATAGAGTGAGCTGATTCCGAGGACGTGTCTTTCGGCCGTTCTTTTGTTTTACACGTGTGGGTAGTCCGTAGATGCGATGTATCTTCCATGGGTGTGTTTCGGGGTTTTTTGCGTGTGCTTTCTTACTTTATTGCTTCGCTCCGTCGTCGGCTGGGTTTCGAGGGTCGGGCGGCCCCAGATCTTGGAGGTAATATATTTTTCTGGAAATTCGATATGCAAAACACCGCGCACGCGATCTGAGGTTTTTTTCCGTCTCGTGATCATTTTTTTCCCCTTCCCTCCCCCCCCCTGCGACCATTCGTTGGCAGGTTCTCTT